TAAATAAATAAATAGATAAATAATTTTGCGCACAGTGCAAGAGAGAACAATAAAACTTATATGAGTTTATTACAAACTCACCATGCTGGAGATATCAAAGAAGATAAGTAGGGGAGTGGAAAAGAAAAGCTAATGAATTTCAGTGCAGTGGAACCTGATGGTCAGTTCTTGGCTCAGCAGCAAGAGTATCACCTCCCACCTCATATATATTTCTTGTGTGAAACCTGTTACCAAATATATTATGATATTATGCTGATGTGGCTATACTACCAGTTTTTCTCAGTACCACTGTCCGGTGATATGCAAAAGCAAAATGTTGAGTCAAGTGAGTTAAAAATTTGGCACAGAGCTTGATAGAAGATGTGGCATGAAGAATAGTCACCTGCTAAACAGTCTGTATCCAGTTTAAACAAAAACTTAACTCCTCCATTCAAATATGCATGTAGAAAGTAATCAGTCCTATGGGCTAAAATACGCCACACTAGCTATATTGTTACATGAGATTTTCACAAAGATTTTTGACTTCATTTTTCCATAGATTGTGATAAACCCATTTAACACTGTAGCTACGGTGGTAAGGAAAAGTAAGAAATTTTCTTGTTCATTTGTAATAACAAGAGAAACTCAGCAGACATATTTTTATCACCCCTGCGTTGTTTGTTAAAAAACTCCAAACCTACAACCCTGCAATTTGGAAACTGTGTGGCTGTTAATCATGGGCAAGCAGTACAAGAGGAGAGGTTTTTTATTTATTCCAATCTCTCCCCATTTCTCTGTCCCCACCTCTGTCTCTCCACAACTGCTCATGTCTCTGATTTCTCCAATTTTGCCTGATTTATCCATGGGCTCTTATTCAGGGGTCAGTATTTTTAAAATGGTGGCAACAAATTAAAGTTAAATTTTACACATATAAAAATAGGATTTAACTATGTATTATCATAGCATTTCTTCCCCTGTACTCTCTTTATGCCCCTTAATTTCTTGGACTCAAAGGATATGAGTGGCAGCTAACTATCGTAATTAATGCCTATAAATGCTCTTGCAGTGTGCATGTAATAAGCATTAGTATTCTGACTGTGATATATACCAAGATGGACCTGTAGGTAACATAAAGGTGACAAAATCTTACATCACTATCTCCCCTTTGCTTACTTACCTTTAACCTCTACCAGTTTAGAACATGTAATATCTGCTCTTTTCCATTTCCTTTCCCTTCCCTTCCTCCATCCTCTTCCCTTCTTCCTCCTGATCTTTCCACAGCATGGGTCTTTGGCCACTGTCCTTTCAGATGTTTTCTGAAAGCTCACTTGATCTATAAAGCCTGTTACAAACAGTAAAACATTAAAGTCTTATTTTAACTTTTAGTAAAGACCGTTTAACATTTGTCTGAGAATCAAGAGGATTTTATGTTGTGGATGAAACCCACAACAGATTTTCTCAGAATTCCAGGTATTCACATTTACATGTGTCCATGTACTACCACCAAGTGTATAATGTAGGATTAAAACACTTGCAAATTGGGCCCAAAATGTTTGTCAAAGTTTATTTAGACTGTAAGAAAAGTACATGAGCTTAAATAATCTTATTTATGTAATGTTAATTACTTTCCCTTGCCTGCTCTTTTTCCTCTGTTGGCCACAAATGCTTCCTGAAAAAATTTAATTGTAGATTGTGCATTTTCACAGATTAGGACTGTCTAGTTTTAAGATGCCCCATGCTTCTACTCTAGAGAAAACAGTCAATAACATTTTTCATTTTTTGCTTCATTAAAATGATAATCCGGTTTTGATTTTGTAGATAATACAGCCAGTATCCTGACAAGACGAAGGAGATACAGTCGAACCACTCAAGACATCTATTACCTCCCAGTTTTGATTTCTGATGGTGGAGTGCCCCCTCTCAGCAGCAGCAGTACTCTCACAATTAGGGTTTGTGCCTGTGAGAGAGATGGACGAGTGAGAACTTGCCATGCTGAAGCTTTCCTCTCCTCAGCCGGCTTGAGCACAGGAGCGTTAATCGCAATCCTGCTCTGTGTTGTCATTCTTCTTGGTAAGCCATTTTCAGTATTAAGTAATGCTGTCCTTCCGCTGGCTCTCTAAATGTGACAGGGCAGAAATTTTTAATATGATATGGTTTTGAACCAGAGGCTGCCTGGTAGTAGGAGGTAATTAGAAACACATAGCTGTGATTAGGGGGGAAAGGTTTAGCTAAAATTAATAGGGAAAAATGCCTTTAAAGGACATTCATGAATATCTGGAATCCAATAGAAATTATTTTTCAGAGGTTATCAAGTAATTAGCACTGCAGTTCTTTTTTCTGCAATTTGGAAAGATTTCAAAAAGCCACTGACTCTAATTCCATGTCTAGAACAGTGTGAAAAATGATAGAAAAGAGATGAGGAAAGCTTTTTGAAATGCATTACACTGTAAGAAGCACCATTAGCACTGTACAAAAGCCATTTCTTAATTACCTTTGTGGGATAAGCTGATAGCAATGCACAACATAATCCACAGAGGCAAGGGACATATGAGACCATAAGATGACTCCATTAGATAAATGCCCTTGCAAGTGCATTTTCCCTTCACTTTTTTCTTTTTTTTTTTTTTTTTTTTTTCCCCCGGCCAGTCTAAATGTTACCCATTAGTTTTTCTTTTTTTTTTCTCCTTTTTTTTTTTTTTTCCTGGCAGAGGCACAACTTAGTGGGTACATATCTCTGTACTACTCATGTGTCTTTCTGCATTCTTATACAGACGGCAAGAAAAAATGGGAATTGCAGTGTGACCCACATGGGAGATTTTGAGGATTTTTTTTCCAAAGGCTCTAAATTTTCTAAAGACTACCTTTCTTACAGCTTATGTCAGAACTTCCTTGTCAGAAAGCTGTTTTAAAATGTATAGTAATACATTTAGTTTATAAACTTGTATTTTATCACACAAGACTATTCATAAGAGAAAAAAAACCAAACCTTTTACACTTTAATTCAATATATATGCTAAATACTGCTTTTAATGAAGCACTGAAGGCCCTTAACAATACTTCTGAAAAATGTCAGCCCTAGTAACTCATTTCTCATTTAACTGAAAGTTATCCCCTTTTATGTCCTTTATGAGATCCCTAATAATCCAACTAGTAGATTTCATTACTGGCTCAAGAAACCCCAGCAATCCCTACAAAGAAAATACACAGTAGAAGAGTGCTCTTTACTAACCCTTTTGGAAGACCAGGCTGTATTGGAAGTTTTTAGTTTCAGGATAGCATTTTTAATTTTCCCCTTAATTCTGTGGTCTCAGCCTGCTGCACTTTGGGATGTTGCTAGGTGAAAACACAGCTGTATGGATTTCATGGGTGTTTTCCAGGCATACAGTAATCTATCTTCAGGAAACACGTTACACAACAAAGGTATTGCTCACTTACGAATATTAAGTATGCTCTTTTCCAGATTGGACAGGTTTGGTAACCCTTTGTTAGAGATATGTGCCTGATGTAATGATCCCAAATAGCAATATTAGCCTGAAAATATCACATCTCTGTATTTATGACTTAGTATCTGCTATTTCTTTAGCATATATCTACTTACTTCAGATGTAAACTTTAAACCTACTCTAATATCTGCAGTTTTCTCTTTAGCAATTGTGGTCCTTTTCATCACCCTAAGACGTAGCAAGAAGGAGCCCTTGATCATTTCAGAAGAAGATGTCCGGGAAAATGTAGTGACATATGATGATGAGGGCGGTGGAGAAGAAGACACAGAAGCATTTGACATCACAGCACTGAGGAATCCATCAGCTGCTGAGGAGCTAAAATACCGGAGGGATGTTCGTCCTGAAGTGAAGCCTGTGCCCAGACATCATCCCTCGTCAAGCCTTGACAGTATAGATGTTCAGGAGTTCATTAAACAAAGACTGGCAGAGGCTGATCTGGACCCCAGCGTGCCCCCGTATGACTCCCTACAGACATATGCCTATGAGGGTCATAGATCAGAAGCTGGATCTATCAGCTCTCTGGATTCAGCCACAACACACTCTGACCAGGATTATAATTACCTTGGAGACTGGGGACCTGAGTTCAAGAAGCTAGCTGAACTCTATGGGGAAATAGAATCAGAAAGAACAACTTAGTTGTAATTCCCAGAACAGAGAAGTTCTTAAACGACTGGAGATATAATGACAGCAACGGTAACAAAAAAATGAATACAGCACTTGGAACTGAGCAAGTTGTATGCAGTTACTGCAGAACAAGTGCCCTTTTCAGATTTGAAACTGGGTTCTCCAATTGGAAGAAAGTCAAATTTTGAAAAATACAGAAAAAAGAAGCTATTGTCCCTTGTGTATATTTTTTAATTGCTCAATAAAGTCCGTGGTACCGTATCTGTAACAATACCTAAAGTAAAGCCAAGCAATGACATTTTTATTGCAATATGCTTAACATCTCCAAGCTACAGTAAGTTTATGGTCATGGCTATTTAGGAAGATAGCTAACGGAGGAGCAAATCTCTTGCAGGTGGTTGTGACGTCGCATTTCTAGCTGTGCTCTAGGCCTTGTGATCCCAATGTGAGGTAGCCAGTGGGGTTTACTATCAGTGTGAGAAGTGCTAACGGTCTGCTTTCTCTATAGAAGGGATAAGCCACACCTGTCCTCTTAAATAAACGGTCCTTTGATGATTTAATCTTACTGAATTAGCAGGTTGCATTGAGATGATGTCATTTCATTATGTCCTTCATAATCTTTTCATCCATAACCAGCTACCTGAGGGAGGGCATCATTAGCTGTCAGCTCAAACATGGCTCTAGCCCATAACCTCAGACCTGCTCTGTTACTGCGTGCTAGAGAAACTGTTGTTTCCAGTGTTGTGTTTTTTCTTTTTGTCTTTTCACAGGAAAATCATTCATTTAAATCGAATGGCTCCAAAGCACTCTTTATGCAGTGAAGCAGATGAAGCATAGGCTCTTTCAATAAAAACAGTAATGGCAGCACCATTAAACCATGCAGTTGTTTGGTTCACTGTGCTTCACTTATGTCAATAGATGAAGCTTTTCAAGTCTTTTGCTGGTCCAAGTCCAGGAGCTACAACAGTCAGTTTAAAACACAGAGTTCTTAATCATAATGTCTATTTCCGTGTGTGACTAAAAGCAAAATAGAGCTGCTGGTAAGATATTGGGATAGAGAAAATTGAAACAAAGAGAGTAAGATGATGATGCTTTTTTCTTTTTAATTCAATCTACTGATATTTAGTTTCTCTTAGAGTAATTTCCATCTAAGCAGAGCAAGCTTTTTTTCCTCCTTATTTCAAGCATTGTGGGAACAGGAACATTTTAAGTCTGTGTAGGAAGAAAAAATTAAAATGTACCATTATAATGGTTCCTATGGATTAAATAAATTGATTTCTTTTGTTAGTAACTTTTTAGCATTGCAGAACTGCTTAACAGTTCTGCTTAATGTTGCAGGCTGCTTAACAACTAATCCAGCAGATTCTTGTGTTTTCCTTCATTTTCTTTGAAACTTTAACCTTTTGTTTGTCTTTCTTGTGATAATACTGTGCGAGGACCAGGAGGTCATACTATCCCATGAAAGAGTATGACTTCTAGGGCTCACCATCAATTACAGTCTTCTGCTTCTAAGAAAACTGTAGCTCCACTTAGGGAGGTGGACTTCTTGCAATATGCATTTGACAGGGAAACTGTTCAGAGCTCTGGGCTCGTGTGGAGAGTGATAGAGATCTGTACACTCCACGAGACTCCTCCCTACGCATTTTAGGTGCCACTTACGTTCAGCTTAGTAGAGAAGGGTGTACCTTTTGCTCCTTCAAGCAGGGTCTCTGTTTATTGCTGACCTACTGTGGGCCACACAGGTGAACCAGATTATTAAACTTTCCCTTCTCTACTTGTATGGTTGGGTAAGTCCTAGACATGACTGAAACTTCTGACCAGTTCTGCATTGAGAATTCATTTATTTATTTATTTATTTAATGAACTCATTCCTGAGATGTACTTGACTGCTTTTGGTTTAAACAGCCTTCTGGAAAAATTAGCAAGTAGCTTTGTAAGAAACTTTTCAAACTCGAAAAAGTATTAGTTGCACTGTAGTTCCAGAATTGATTTTTACTACACTGTTTTGTTTGCAACTTGAAAACTGTAGTTTCCTTTTCTGTCAACATCTGAACCCACAAGGCAATTTAGAGGGGAAAAAACCCACAAACTCCAAAATATTCTGCTGATGATTTGAAATTAGTTTAATAATCTGTGTTCAGATTTTTAAATTTTTTTTATTATTTTTACCAAATACAGAATCTTCTAGAAATGCATTTAAGGAGACATTCTCATTGTAGGATAAAGTTAAACAGATGCTTTAATGCAGAAAGTGTTATACTCAAACTGAGAATGTTTTATGTATTGTCTTTTTTTTGAGATAGAGTTAGGATATGTTTCAGTTTTGACCTTATGAAGCAACTAGTAGTGCAGGATTTTATAAGGAGACATTTTCTTTTGATTTAGATCACACTTACTTTATGCCAACATCTAAATGTTTATATTGTGTGAGTGCTAAGACAAAAATCTTGCAGCATTAGTAGTACTGTGGCCCATAATACTTTGTACCATACCTGCATGAAAACTGCATTCGTTGTATTATAGTTTTGAGAGCCAGGTATTAGTTATCTTCATGTCTGTTCCCTCTGGCCCTACTTCGAAGCTGGGAAAATCAATTGTATTTTGTGCTTTAAGCAGTGTTCCTGCCATTGTTTTCATTTGCATCACAGAACATTCAGGCTTAAAGCCAACAGAAGTGCAGTGACGTAAGCAAATAATCACTCCTTATGCTCATGTTCTGATTAAGTTAATGAGAGAAGGATGTCATATCTCAGAGAAATAAGAATCCCCTTTTCACCATTCCTGGTGCTCTCTTTGCTGCTGTACAGCACGTGCATCATATCCACAGCCCCAGGAATTCTGAATCCTTTGAAACTCTGCAGGGTTATTGAGACGCTGCTTCAGCGATGCTGCGGTGTGTCCTGTTTGGTATGTCCTATCCACAGTGATCGCCAAATGTGCTTTTCTATCATGATACGTCTGCATGCTTGCTATGCTTACTGTTTTTTACTCAAATACACATCACAGTGCCGTGTTGTTTGCATGACAAATAGCAGAATATTAAATCTTCAGGGCCACAGAAAAAGGCCTCACAGTGCAGAAAGAACAGGTTTATAGATTTCTTTTCCTAGTCCCCCAATTTTTTCCTTTGGTCCTTTGTGTCCTAGAAACAAATTTGAGGATTTCAATGTTAACATCGATTAAACTGGAAGAAAATTAACACTGTATACCATGGAGGGCACCATCATTTTGTAGCATTGCTGATTACAACAGAGCATACATTCAGTGGAAGTATTGTGGGAAACTCTTTCCTAGTGTATGCTTAAGTCTGATTGTACAGACTTTGCTTAAAGCTTTCATGGATCTTTTGTGTACTCATATTCTCAAATATTTTCCTATTAGCCTAAATAGTAAGCCTGTTGCTGCTTAACAACTAAACGCTGAAAACTGCCAGTTTTACTTAAATGGAAGATACTGAGTAAAGTTAAATGGCACATACAGAGTGGTGCTTAAGGGCTTTCTGATTTACAATTTTATTTCTGCAACAGCTATTCAACTAATAGTACATTTACAGCAAATTAATTAGTTGCATTCCTTCACACAAACCCTCTTTCTTGTAATGGTGAGGGCACTCAGTATGCTGTAATCTTAACACATCATCTGAGAAAATGGTCTGTATAAGTATTTTAAAACGTGAAAATATATTGTCAAGTTAAAAAGAGTTAAAAATGTAATTTAATACACTTTAAAGACAAGGAAGTGCTTGAATTCACCTGGCATTAGATTAAGATTCATACATTGAAAACAATTTAATTTATCAGTGTTACCGTTTTTTACATACATATAGAAGACTGTAAAAGTTGAAAGTAATTTCACTCTGTTACGCACTTTATTTTTTCGATTCTTCTTAGAAAACCAAAATAATTGTAAACATTTTGGTTTTGAATTCTAATTGATGCAGTTGTTTAAGTTATGAATACTGCAGGAAAATGTCTATGTGAAAATACTCTCATTGGTATTTAAAAGGAATTACAAAATTTCTGTGGTCTAAGGCTTTGTAAAATCATCCTTTAGAAAATCTAAGTATTGGACCAGTATGGAATTAACCAAACTCATAGACTCACACAAAGGGTAACAAAGGAAATATTCTAAATGCAGAAAAGAATATGAAATTATGCTGCCTAGGGTTACTTTGTGGATTATAAAGTGCTAAGACCTTGTACTTGCAGTACATATAAATGGCACAGTGCATTCTAAGGAACATTAGGAGTGTGTTGCAAGTATTGGGCTATCCTTATTTTTCCAAAGTTTCCAAAAATATATATATTTTTTTTAACAAAAGAGTAATGTAAACTATACCTCCTTATGCAAGTGTTACTGATAGAAATTGTTACATTTTCTTTTAATAAACAAAAGGGACAAAATCTTTTATTCGTATTTTTCAAATAAAATATGCTCTTTGCTATGGTGATGGGTTATTGTATTCCTCATCACAATTAGAACGGGTTATTTTCTCTTCACTCCTGTATTTTATACTCACCAAAGAAATACAGCTATCTAAAGACACTCTGTCTTTAAGAATCAGATGTGATACAGCAGTATTAATGAGGTCAATGTCAGAAACGGCATGGTAACTTTAACTAGATTTTAATGCCTGGTATAGTCACTCAGTTGTGTCACTATTTCAAAGACTGTCTTACATGATTATTGCTCCAGATGGGTAGGGAGAGAGAGAGGGAGACACCAAGAGATACTTTGAAACAGACTGCAGTATAACTGCTAAATGGTTCATTACTTTTACTTGTGGCAACCATTCCACTCCAACCATCACTGTCCTGAAACTGAAATACAGCGTTATAAGATGAATACATTATCCACATGAGTGAGTTAGGGAATTGCACATCTATGAATCCAGATTGGTGGTAACAGACGGGGTTATTATCCTAAATTGACATAGAAGAGAAAAAACAGGCAAGGACATTCACAATGATCAAGCTCAGGCACATGCAACGCAAGTGCACAGGAATCACTCA